CCCCCGGCCCCCCGCGCGGCCGCGGGAGCGGGGTGAGAAGGGCCTGCGGCTGCCGTGCGGCTCCGACCAGCCGGAGCCCAGCGCTGCCATGTAACTTAGCGGGCTCTTTTGTTGTCCTTTCCCGCAGCCAGGGCGCTCGGGCAGCGCTGCCTGCCGCCGGGAGGGGAGCCGGGCCAGGCGCCGCGCTGGGAACGCCGCTTCTGCTCCTTGCACCATGACAGAGGAAAGCAAAGGGGACGGCAAGGGGGAAAGCGGGAAGGACCTGGAGAAGCAGCTTCGCCTGCGCGTGTGTGTCCTCAATGAGCTGCTCAAGACGGAGCGGGACTATGTGGGCACGCTGGAGTTCCTGGTGTCGGTGAGTGGCATGGAAGTGCCCCTTGGCCTGCGGGATTTGGGAGAAGCCACAGGGAGCTCTGCTTGCCCCTGTGCCGTGATTGGGGAAGGGACCCCCCCAGGAGGGGCTGGGGGGACGGCCGGACTGGAGCGCGGCTCGACCAGGCAAGTGTATTCCAGGGCGGAGCTGTGCCGGGCACAGCTCCCTTTGGCTTAAACGAGAGGCTTTGAACTAGTAGTCTTTGAAATGTCCAGGTCAGAGTGTCCCCTGTCCCCGACCTTGCCCTCCCTGGGGAGCCTGCCCAGATGATCTCGCATCTGCCCAGATGATCCCACATCTCTGGGCATGGAGGCTGAGGGGGGAACGTGTTTGGGTTCAGCGCTGCCTCGGATGCTGGGGCTGGTGCTCCTTACAGGTTGCCGCAATTCCGTTATGTTCAATAGTCCTTGAAACAAAGTAGTGCAGGGGGTGAGGGAGGGAGCTGGGGGGTGCAGCAGCTGCTTGGCATTAAAGCCACATGTGGCACTCGGTCCTGCTGGTGATACAGGGCTCCGCTGGGAAGAAAGCATGTTCTGGTGAGGTTACTCTTGTAGCAGTTTCAGCTTCCTCCTGTGTCCTGCTATCGCTGTGGGTAAGTTTATTTGTGGCAGGTAATAGCTTAATCAGAAAGGCAGGATTTCGTGCTCTCTGCTGAAAGAGCCAAAGCAGCGTAATAATTTCCATAAGGTGTGTGCAGTGTTTCTTTCCCATTTGCACACGGCGTTGGTAGCATCACTTTAGGGCCTTGTTGAGATAAGCATATCCGAATGGTCTGTTTAAGTGTGCAGACGATATCCGAATCGTCTGCTCAATTTTGCAGATGATCTTTCACAATGTCCCCCCCCCAGTTCTTTTCTCCCCTCCCCTGTCTCGTCAAAGAGGGGAAATCCTTCAAACTGCAAACTTCCTGCTTTGCTGCGGTGAGATCTGTGAACTCTCTGCTTATTATCATGGAAGAGGAAATTCCCAACTTGGCTGTGACAGGCAGAATGAAAGGACAGACACTGGAGTGAAATAAGATCTACCGAGTAGCTTATTTTCTCCATATGTTTATCCTCGGAACCATGAAAAATGGTAAATGTTCCAATGTGTTTTCTGTTTTTCACATTTTTTTTACAAGTCTATTTGAAAAAGTGGCTGTAAGATTGCCTTTTACTTTCGTTTAGCAATCAGATTTTATTTACTGTAAAAAATAGAAAGTATCTTAAGGGAATGATTTACAGTATTTGAACTTAAGCCCCATTTTTAATGTGTGTCAGTTTTCAGTCACTTTAGTAAATTTAAAGCATTCGTAGTGTCTTTAATTTTGGACTTGACAGCTTGAGACAGAAAGATAAATATTAGTATTCAAGTGGTAAAAGCTCAGCTCCTTGCAAAAAGACTCTCTACATATATCTAGTTGCATCCCAAATAGTGAATTCATGTCTGAAAACCTGGATCAAGGTGACCCAAATAAATCATGAGAAGAAAAGGAGGAGGGCAGGAGTTAGTCACCTGATTCTCTGTCAGCTTTTCCATGCTTGTTGATGCTAGTGAACGGGGTTCAAATGATAATTCAGAGGATTTAAAGCTTTCGGAGGGAAGTGTCATGCATTCTGACTGTACTTCAGTGCTGATTTGAGCAAACAGCTTCTGAGCTTTTCCTTGGCCTATCTGCTAAGGTTGCTGTTGAGAGCAGATGCGGTGGTTGATTTTTGTGAGGACAACGCTGGGCTACAGCCCATGTGGAGATTGTGTTTATTTCACATAAACCATCACCACAACTATCACTGTCCCTTTTCCTCTGGTTACTTCTTGATCTGGAGGCTAGATCCTCTCACTTGAGGTTTACTGTTCCCTTTTCTTGAAACTCTTGTGGGTGCTAGGATGAGCTTTTCTGAGGTGTGAACAACAGAAGAGTTTTCTCTATTTTGTTGATAACTGAAGGTTTATTCCTAAGTGTTCAACCTTGGCAGGTCTTTTGTAAAAACTATACAAGTACCCAGAAGATATAGGATGAGTCTGTATTAGCAGGCCAGAGTGTGATTTTGAAGTAATCAAATCCAGATTTGATATGGATGAATCCAGATCTTCCAGCAATCCATTCTCTTGTTGTTTCACCTCGAGAAGTGGTCTTGGTGCACCCAAACTGGTTTGCTTTTGGATGAAACTGAGGTGGGAGACCTTCTTTAGGAACACATCTGGCTAATGAGTGTGCAACAAGAGCTGGTTTGAAGCAACTGCCCTCGCTCCTCCAACAGGTGAAATTTGGGTCTGGGGTCTCAGTACCCTTTCTCTGTCCAAACCCTATCCTGCTTTGTAGCACTTTTTAAATTCAATGCAGCTGTAGAGAATGCAGTTCCAATAAAAGTTTGGAGTTAGGCTTCCACATCTCTTGTGCTCTGTCACTGGTAGGAATATTTATGCTGAACTTACAGTGGTAGAAATCATGTTTCCTTTATGACGGAAAGGCTGAAGACTGTGTAGTTTTTTCTAAGGAGGTTGCATAGAGGACATGCAGTTTCCACTGAAGGTAGTAGGAACAGAGTATTTGCTTAGATAAGGGAGAAATCTATTAGACCATAGTTTTTTGTGGGCTTATAATGTTCTATGATGTGAATAGTTCATACAGAGTCCATACTCCTATAAGCCATATTTTCGTTAGTAAGTTGTTCTTGTGCAGGAAAGGGATAGCAGGTAAGTGAGATTTATGTGGAAATGTAATGCACATATCATACTTACCTCATTTTCCTGATTGCTTTGTGATCCCTCGTGAAGTGAATTGATACCATATACTACTGCAATTATTGTAGTCTTGGGCTATGATAATTATACTGTTGTCATGGCTAATATGTAATATAAATAGGTATGGAAGTGAGGTGTAAGCCTGATTTGACCCAATGATGGGAGGAAGGAAGTCCTCTTGTTGATGTTAACTATGTTGGTGAAACTGCTTCTACTGGTACCCTCGTGGTTGGCTGGAGGATGAAGAGGTGGTAAGGAACTGCTGGAATGTGCCTATATGGGAAATGTTTTGCTGTTTTCCTTATCCTGGAAAAACTTCCATTAGAATTATTTAGGTTCTTCACTTAATATGGGAATTAGAAAGGCTGTCACAGAGGACAAATTTCTGATGGGCATTTCAAGTAGTGTTTGTTTCAGGACTCCTCTGCTGTTCTTCATTCTCTGATAAAGACCACCAGTGTAGTGAGAAGTAGCTTGGTTTATGTAATCTGTCGAAGGATAACAAGGCTATGGAGTGCAAAGCAGAAAAGTTGTTATGTCCATTACTGAGTTGTATGAATGTAGCCAACTAATGCCCACCTTTTATTTTTGGCTTTATGTTGTGTGAATATAGTATTGTGTTTTTAATGTGTACTCATCACAGATCAAATCTGAGTAGGAAGGCCTGGTTGTATTCACTTTGGATCTCCAGAATCTTCAGAATCTCTTGGTAATAAGTTATACTGTGTTGAGACAGTAGTAATACTGAGCACAGACAGTTTTAGGCACATTTGAGTGAGATATGTAAACATGTGGATAAATTTAAGTCCCTACATAGTCACTGCAATGTTAGCAGGACCAGGCATGCACAGGGGATTATAGAGGAGTGTAAGGGATGCAGTAGTCTTTAGTATTCAATATTCTTCAAATATCTATCTAGTGATAGAAAAACTTGCCTAGGTCACTAAAACATTTTCAAAGATGGAAAGGTGTCTAGAGATGGAGTATGTTTTGAGCTACAATCTAAGATTTTGGTTGAAAACTACTGATACTTCTCTAGCTAATTAGCATTTTTTTTTCTTCTGCTGCTCCCTGGTGATACATTTACATCTTCCAAGGAAGGAATCTTTCCTTTTTGACAGAAAAGCTGTTGCTTGCAGGGATCTAGGAGAATAATTTTTCATCAACATGCTCATTCTAGAGGAGAGAGGAAACAATAATTGATGATTATTTACCCTGTGTATGCTAATTACACATTCTCTAATTCAGTGGTTTCACTGAATAAATACAACCTTGAGTGTTGATAATAAAGGTGCTGTTTTACTTTTGTGTATTCATCTATATCACATACAATATATATTTCAAATGGAAATATATACCCTTTTCATTTGTTTTATTTAGGGTGCACTTTTTAAACATAATGAAAATCTACTCTTTTTTTTGTCCATAAGTAGCACAATTAGCTCACTAAAGTGAAACTGCATAAACTTTTTAAAGATTCTAGTTGGTCAAGTATCTTATGCTGTTAAAATGTTACTTGACTTCTTAAGAAACATTTTACAAAACAAATTTCTTTTAAATTATCTTAATGGTTTAATGCAAGATTTTATTTACTGTGCAAAGTGGAGCACTGGTCTGAATCCTCAAGTTAGGAGTAATAAAGAGAAGAGTAAGACTGGAATAGAAGTTGCTGAGAAGTAAAAAGAATTTAATAGTAAATAAGTGCTAAAGAGTGGCTGGCTGAATTGTCTCTTTATCACTTGGTATGAGGATTGGTTGTTGTGATAATGTTTTATGCTGCAATTTAGCCAGTAAAGTCAAATAAAGCCATAAAGAACTTCAGCATGCAGATAAATTGCAAGGAAATATGGTAGGTACAAAAGTAGGTTAAAAAAAGATATATTTAAAGGAAGAAATATTATTTTGAAGTAGAAAATGGAAATGTAATACGGCTGCTACATTAAATACTTTGGGGATATCCATGGAAGTGGAGAGTTTATTTTTATATGACATGGATCTCTTTCTGATGTGTTTTCATGTTCTGACAGATTTGACACTGAGGGGAATAGAAGCAGATGTTAGTGCTCTGTGTTAGGCTTCCAAAACCCCACAGCCCGAGCTGGGGTGACTGGATAGTTAGATCCTGAAGCAGCGGGAAAAAAAAAAGAAAAGAAAAGCTAATTTATTATGCAGCACATGCTCTGATTTAGCATATCTCTTCTGTGCAAATAGGTATATTTCTGCCTGTTAAAGCACAGTTCTTTTTTCCTCAGTTTAAA